TCAAGAATGGAATCTGCGTGCATAGAAAAAATTAACGTCATCCGCAAATTTGCGAAGTTTAGGATTTAAGAAGCTAAGGCTTTAAATTCGTCAAGAATAGAATTTGCGTCCACGCGAAAAATTAACATCATCCGGAAATTTGCGAAGAAATTTAGAATTTGAGAAGCTTTAAATTCGTGAAGAATGAAATCTGCGTGCGTAGAGAACATTAATTTCACCCGCAAATTTGCGAAGTTTAGGATTTAAGAAGCTAAGCATTTAAATTCGCCAAGAATCGAATCTCTGCACGCGAAAAATTAACGTCACCCCGAAATTTGCGAAGAAGTGTAAAATTTAAGAAGCTAAGCATTTAAATTCGCCGAGAATCGAATCTCTGCACGCGAGATGCTTAAAAGAGGAAAACTTCTTTGCATTGTTCGGTTCAGTTATCTGTTCGTGCAAGTTTGGAACTTCTACTTTGAATTAGAAAATTCAGAACAGCGTAGCGTCGGTATCGCGATATTCACCGGCTCCTCGTATCTCATTGTCCGCCTTGGCTCGATCAATTTGGAGATTGGCGGCTATTGGAATTGGAAATGAAATTTGGTAGACGACGTACAAATGTAGACTAGCAGGCGCTAACACGTTACGCCGGTGAACCAGGAGAGAAATGTATTGTGTTCTGGTACGGCAATCGATTCTACGAGGACCGATTTATGTTTACGGTCGCTCGAATATCTATAGACACCGGGGGACTCACTATGCCGTGCATAAAAACAGACGCGATTCTATTGATCGCCTTGTTAAAATAGTTAAAGTAGATGCGGTACAGGGTAGCTGAAAGGTAGAAAGAGGATTTCAATTAACATGCAATGCAGCCAATCGGAGGAGAAACGAAGAATCTATTAAAAGAAGATTGAACGTTCGGAATAGGTCGTAAGTACTCGAAGAAATTCGTGAAGGTTTTGTACTGATCAATTTAATTCGTGTAAGGAAGAATTTTTCAACGTTCAATTCACAGTAGGGATATTTTTCTCGTCAAGACAAACGAACTCCGTTCTTACTTCGATTCGATAAATATCAGTCTATTCTGCTTGATATTCTCCTGTTCTACTTGGAGAACAACACCTGTAACAATTAGGTCATCTGTATTCTAACCATTTTTTCCAAGAATTAAACGTATTATCTTCAATAACATACACTTTATTAACACAATTATTACATTCTAAAAATATTAACAGCGTGCGGTAATGTGGATTATCGCAAACTTTGCGAGATTACCAATAGGGATGAAAGAAAGAAGGAATTTCGCAAACCTCAGAATAGGAATATCTTGTTGCTCCACTGTGGTGAAATTTAATCAGAATAAAGCGTGTGGCGGAAAGTCGTCAAGTTCCAACATTCCGTCGTGATTTATCTTCAGGGCAATAAAAAGCTTCGCTACGCCCCCTTCTAGCCTGGGTATATGATGCATAGTGTTAATAACGTCCGTACCCCTCTCCTTCATACTTGTGTGTGCAACATTCTACCATCCGCCACCGCTGCCGCAGTTTTTCCCCTCTTTCTGTTCCGTTGCCGTTTCCCCGTCTTTCGCTTCTGCCGTGTACTTTTCTTTCCTTCGTTTCTCTCACGCGTCCAGCTCTTCCTACCCCCAACCCTTCGCTTCCTAAAACGAGCACAATAAGAGCAATCGTGACATTTGCTCGTAGTTTCGAATAAACTGGATGCACCGAGATTCTCTGTATACGCTGCAGAGTCTCTCTGTGATCAAATTTTTGAACACGTTGAAGAGTTTAAATGTTGTTGTAAACAACAGAGAAATATAGCTGCTTTTGAAAAATCGAGAGAAACGTATAGTAGCGATATGTTTGAGAACCACTGCTTTTCTGTTCACCGTGTTTCATCTTTGTTGTTCGTTCTATACGATCTGTTTTCGTTGCACTATACTGAATTCGAGAAGCGAATTAGCGAAGTCAACCACATCTCAGGCGATCGAGAAATTTCGACGCCTGAGAAATGGTTGATTTCACTGCTTACCGAATTCGAGAAGTTATAGAAAGTGTTCGAGATCGGGAGCAAGTAGATAAGTCAATCATATCTCAGACGCTTGAGAAAATTCGACGCCTGAGAAATGGTTGATTTCACTACTTACTGAATTCGAGTTATAGAGAACGTTCGGGATCGGCGGCAAGTAGTGAAATCAACCATTTCTCAGACGCTCGAATATTTCGGAATCGGTAAGTAGTGCAAGTCGACAGTTTCTCAGTCCACCCAAAATTCTCTAAGTCCGGAAAAGCGCCGATAATCACACATCAAAAATTGCGAGAAAATGGTGTCGAGAATTTTGTACAGCAGCTAAATTCCATTAATTTCGCATTGCATTAGCAATTGCATGCAGTAAGCGCTTTAAAATTAACATTTATAATCAATTTTCAATTACTTTAACGTCACTAATTATTTAGTTAATGAAATACTGTTTCTATTTTATTTTCAAGTACTTTAATTGTTAAATAATTAGTGTTCCTTATTAAATAACAATTTAGATAGTAGTTTATAAGCATGCAATAGATAAGTTAAAAATTATTTATAGCTTTTATTTAACATTTGAAAATTAATTTTATTTTTGTTTAAATTAGAAATGGCCTGTTACATTTAGTTCTAATTCCAACCACTGCTAATGTTGTAATCTTATTCTATGCTGAATCGGTAACGTTGAGAGCGACACGAATAAGATGCTATGTCTATCGTGTAGTATGAACCTTTAATATACTTTGTTTCAAACGTTATTCATACGGCATCCTGCATAACGTTTGTCCCTGTACTTTCTTTTCAACTAGGAACCAGTGTAATAAGTTGTTATATTATTAATAATAATTAAATATGTATAATTTCGCTTGATCGATGTTTCTTAAATATTTTCAAAAATTTAGATCAAGGTAGGAAACTAAAACTTTGTTTCGTTTACGTGGGTTTACAATTTCATTATTAATTAGAAGGAACTTATAAATTTTTATAATTTGAAATAATAGTTGTTTTCTTCCTGAAACGATTATCTAGTATTAACGATACGTTCTAACACAACGCCGAGAGAAAAGAAGCTTTGAGGAGTTGTTGTTGAATACCGCAGAGTGAATTCAGAATTAACAGTACCTATAGGGCTTATCGTTTTGCATGTACACATACACATATATTACACGAAAAGCTTTATGTACCTACATGAGAGAGATATAATACTCTGTTGATACGAAACATCAACTCCCTTCGACACAAGAGCGCCCCCAGCGCTACAGAGCTTTATAGTACTAAATAACAACACGTGTTATCAGTTTCCTCTGTTACGGTGTTGTTGCAACATATGGTCCATTAGAGCAACTTGATAATGTTATTGACCGACTTTATATTTGATAATTGTGATGTTAATATTGCATAAAAATGAATACAACGAAAATAAAAACAAGATTTACATCTTATTGTACGAAGTACAATAAAATATGAACCATGATTTTTATGTATGCAAATATACAGGGTGTCCCGTAACTCCTCGAACACCCGGAAATGGGGGGTTGCTGAGGTGACTCTGAACAACTTTTTCCTTTACCAAAATGTTGTTTGAAGCATCATTTTTGAATTATTAACGAAAAACACTGGCCAATCAGAGCGCGCTCGTGCTCAACCACGGGAGCGCAGGGACTCATCCGCGCGCGATCGTGAACAAACGAGTACGCGCGACTTCTCGGTTATCGGTTGCTGTCAGAAAAATGTGACTTTGCACCGCTATTTTTATAAGGCTTAGAGAAATGGTTTGTTGCCGTCATTCCGGTGCAAAGTCAAATTTTTGTGACAGAGA